AATTTTTTTTAAAAAAAAAAAATTGAAAAATTAAAAGTTTTTAAAAAAAAAAAAAAAAAAAAAAAAAAAACATCTCATGTCTGCTCATATATTTTCTTTCATTTGCTTTAAAGGTTTGGTTTCAAAACCGTCGAGCCAAGATGAGGCGGCAGTTAAAAATCCAGAGCCAGCTCGCTCGGCCTCTCACGAAAGGAGACGACGGCATAAGTGAGCGGAGAAGCCCAGACCTCACGCAGACAGAAAGTTGCAGCAGCGAGGCTTGGGAGAGACAACAGGAAGGAGAGATCTACCCATGGACAAAAGCGCCGGCTTCTGTGCCGAGCGTACGGAAGCAGCCCGTGACCCTGAGGTTGGGGAAGTGGGAGAGGCCGGAGGGGCACAGCTCAGAGGAGCTCCGCTCCTGCAGCATCGCCAAGCTGCGGGCCAAAGCCAGAGAGCATGAGGCCGAGATCCATAACACTGTAAACATGTCAGGCAGTGACTTACAGGCACAAACACAGGAAACCGATGTCATTCCCAGTGACTAACAATGTTCCTTCTTCCTGTTTATACAGAAAAAAAACTCTGGACACCATCAGTGTACTGAACTTTTTGAACTTCTTGGCAAACATGTCGTCACTTTGCCTTAAATAACAGACCATTGACTAAATAGCTTATATTTAATGTATAATTTCTACGAAATCATTACTTATCAGATATTTTATCATACAACATGTTTAAATTTTATTTTCTTTTTTTACTCTTAATTCATGTAAAAAATGCATTTAACCTTTATTAACTTTGTGCATAAATTTATACTAAAAATAACTTATAAAATAAGTATATTTTTGCTCAGAAAGATTTGAATGTATCCATATTTTCTTGTTAAAATTCTTCTTTTGACATTCATTTCCTAAAAACACATTGAATGATAATGAATAAAGTATACATTTTAACTCCCTATAATTAATCGCCAAATAAGATAGTTTTTAATTATTTTGCATTTGACGACTAACTCCATTAAAAATGCAAAGCAACCCAGATTTGTGTAGTTTTAATTCTTACATTTAGTGTGGAGGTTCCTGCACACGCACGCTTGTGATGAAGAAATAATGTGACAATAATACTCACAAAGGTAAAAGGAGTAGAACAATTAAAATTCTTTGATTCTTTTCTTTCCATTTGGTACATTTATTGAGAACAAAACAAAATTTTGAGATTTATGTTATTCTCCCAGAAAAAAAAAAATGTTAAATGGACCTAAAGTCAACCAAAATAATAAAAAAAATGTAAAAAGAGTGCAAATTTTGTTCAGTTTTAACGCTGGACAAAATCAGCGTTAAAACTGAAGCGTTAGACTGATTGGAACCAATAAAAAGCTTTGTTTGGCTCACCAAAACCAAAACTCACAAAATGAATTTGAGTTGTGTTAACTTGTTATTTATTTATTTTTATTAACTTGTGAAGGACAAAAAACTCACAATAGTTATAAAAAAATCTCCAATTACTTAATCTTTTTTCTTTAACATTTGAAAAGAAATATCTTGTTAGTGGTGGGGTGTGTTTGCGTGCGTGTAGAGAGAGTGTTCAGCGGGCACCATAGGTAAACATAAGGGGCACAAAACATAAACCGACCCCCACTACACCCGCCGGCCTTTCGTCATGGGACCACTGATTTCTTTCAGTTTGTATTTTCAGTGTAATATCACAATTGCATCTGTTGAAGGAGGTTAGAAGTTCTCCACTTTATTTAAAATCTGGTCATTTTATTTGCACTCTTGTCTCCGAATGCAGTTTTCAGCACATCTTAAATGTGATTGATGGTATGTTAATGGAACGCTCCACTGTGCTGAAGCTCTATCAGATAACAATGACAAATGACAAATGCTAACATAAGGGCAATGCAAAAAATGGGATACAGTCAAGTGATTTCTAAATGAGTTCACTTATGACACCCCTGACCTCTTAGGTTGCAGCCAGGATGTCTGCATGTAAGAACACAGTCCTGTCAGGAAAAGGCGGAAACAGCTAAAAAATGAAATCATGAATCCTGGTCCTATTGAACAGATAAATTCCACAGACGACTCTTGACTATTCCAGGAGCTGCTAAGCAATTAGGTTTTTATTCTTGTCCTTATTGTTAATTCCACACTTTCCAAAAACACCTATAAAACTACAGAGGATAAGTCTGATTTTACCCTTAAATAAATACCAAACTGCAATTATTTGTCTTCAGAATCACAGACTGGATCTCAGAATTTCACCAGTATTAAACCTTTTTTTTAAGTCATACTCTAGATAGGATAAAAGGATAAGCAAGAAAAAAAGGCACTTCTTCTGATGATTCTAGTTTGAATCTTCTTTAAAGAGTCATCTTTAGGAGAGTCCTCACACAGTGCAGTGAGATACTGCCCCCTTCTGGGCATTAAGACGCTCCCACAAGCAGGAGAGATGGAGTGGTTTAGATCCACCTGCAATATTTACATTCACTTAAAATAAATTTACAAAATCAAGTAGGTTATATATTTCTTGGCAATGTAAAACTGCTTTACCAGCCGTTGTCTAAATGTGGTACAATAGACGATAACTTATAGTAGTGACAGTTTTTGAGTGAATGAGGTCAGTATGGGTTACTCACATTTTATAGACTCAAATTAAGCTCTGGTCTCACACTAATTATATTCCCTGAGTCAGAGGTTTGAACTCTGTCTGACAAGATCAGTGGGTCAAATTTTGCTTTTCTAAATAGGTTAGATCCAGCTTTTTTTTTTTTTTTCCATGTTAATGTGGGATGAATCTGCCCCTATTCTAGCCTTTTTTATATCCTCTATAATGTTATAATATAAGCATTGTTTTTCCTTATTTATGCAGTTTAGGATATGATAATACATGAAGAGGTGCAAGAACAGCTGGACTAGTTGTAAAATGCTAACCTACTTGACAAGTACAGTAATGGTGAATATATAACTCCACAATCTCTATGCAACAAATAAAATAAAATAAAAAACAGAAAAATCAGTTTAATCTTTATGAAAATGAAATGTTTTGCTCTGATGAGCAAACAAACAGATCAATTTGTCGTAAAGAATTAAAACTTGTGAACTGATCTGGTAGCAACTAATCTGAATTATCATTACCTATACAATATTTGGTCACACAAATGTGAATTTTCTCATATTTGACCCAAATTATGTGGGCTTGGTTTAGCTCTTACGGTGAGTAGTTTGTGCCATTTGGCAATTATAAATCATGCAAGCAAAGAACATGTGTGGAGTTCCACAAGGCTCCATTCTTGGGGCTACTTTTACTGAATATCTATGCACAATCCCTAATCACGAAATGTGTCCATGGCGACGAGAAAACCTCTGAGAAAGCCTGTATTAGCATACAATTTGTTGCCTTCTCTAAAACAGGAATTAAAGCATTATTGTTTACAACAGAATAGGCTAATTACTTTCATAAAAGATGAATAAGTGGCTTACAAGATGTATTTTACATTTTCCTTTTTCATAAGATGCTGAACATTTTCTGATTCAGTTGATGTACTTCTTGCTATTTATGTGTTTTTGTTCCTTTACTTTCCTGTAAACTACAATACATTATTCTAAATATGAATACGTTGCCTTGTCTCGTCTCAGAAGACGAAGCATCTTTCCAATAATAAGACTGTCAGAAATTTTAACAACCCCTAAATTTTGAAATTCCAATCTAATGAACTCCAGCAATGCTGCGAACATGATATTAATTAATGTCTGCTCCGCTTAGTGTTGGTTTTAGGTTGAACAAAGTCAATTACATACATTAAAACATTCAGCAGTTACGCGAAAAAGTACGTAAATCATTAATAGAACGTTGTTTTTTTTGTGTGTGTGTTTTTTTTTAAGCCCATTTAAGGGCGAGTTTTAATCAGCTGCTGTGAATGACGGACTACCATGCCTATGCCAATTAGTGTAATGAGCTGAGAAACCCACACCACCAGCAGCAGAAACTCTTCCCGGAGAGTCAGCGGCTAGTCAGAGCAAAAGCGAAGGAAACAGGACGCAGCTGCAGCGGCACAGTTCACGGTCAAACCTCCGAGCAGGGAAACTTTGTTTTGTTTTTTTTAACTCCCCTTTCCTTTGCCTCCACCACAAACGCTCAAAAGCTCCGCCGGTTTAGTCCGCTCTGAGTCTCAGGGAACCGCGTCGCTGGAAGCATGGCGGCCATCAAGGCGCTGGAGCAGTGGTGTAAAATTCAGTGTGATGGTTACAGAGATGTTGCCGTCACTAACATGACGACTTCATTCAGGAACGGACTGGCGTTTTGTGCTCTTATACACAAATACAGACCGGATCTCATGTAAGTATTTAAAATGTGTCAGATTTGTCTTGAACAAAGTCGTTCTGCTACCCTCAACAACTGATGAAACGTTTAAGAAAATATCTTTACTAGTTTTAATTAAGTTTTCACATCTGTTACCTCTGTAATTCATTTTTTGTTGTTTTTTTCCCCCCCCTCTCAGAGATTATGACTCACTAAAAAAGGAGGATGTGTTTGAGAACAATAGACTGGTAAGACGTGAGGTTGTTGAACATTTAGTTTACAAAATGAAGCAAATTTTAAACTGAAGCAAACCTGGGATGTGTTCCAAAACGCACATTTTTATTCAAACCAGATGCATGACTGCACAGGCAGCAGTGGGCAATATTTGTTCTGTCCCAGGCATTTCTGTTGCTCGTTTAATATTTAGCTGCATGTACATTTTTAATGGCACAGTCTACATTTTCACTTCAGATTTTCCTGCATTTATATATTTAAGCTCATTTATTTGGCTAACCTCCAGGTGATATAAGCAGAAAGGTTGTTTATTTAGTCCTCTGCCATCATAGCGGCTTCCTCTGAGAGTTGGGTCTCCTGCAGAGTACTACTCTTTGTATTACTTCCTTGTTGTCCTGGATGATCCTGACAGTCAGCAAAAAAAAAAAAAAACTGATCTCAGGGGAATGGCTGTCCAGCCTATTCATTTTGAATGAAGCTTGCTGTCATCTGCTATTCGATCCACATCATGATGGATCTCTCTGTACTCTTCAGTGTCACAAGACAAACCAATTTGAGGCCAGGGAGTAGAATGTTTGATTAGGCTAAGTTTTAAAATTCTGTTAATGCCCCCTGTGCTGAAACATGAGTGAAGTAATTTACACTCCTCTATATTTCATGAACAGTATCATGTTACTTATGGTGTTTTTTTTTTTTTTTTAATCTTGAGTAAAAAATGTGTTGGTAGCATGTGGTAAAGGTAGCTTTGCCTGCTTTAATTGTTACCAAAGGAGGTGCGTCTAGACTGATAAATGAACAATGCCCTGGTACAATTCCCCACAAGCTGGCAGGAAGTTGCATTCATTATTCATCATCCATTTTTTTTTTAACCTTTCTGAACCTTAGTACTGAATGCTCCCACTCTATTTAAAGTTACATTATTGTATGTACAAGAAGTTACTGAAATAATTATTCATTGTTAGGATATCTGTTTTTGTGTTGTGTGGCTGGACTGGCTCGTACATTACTTTTGCAACATTTATTTTCTTAAGGCCTTTCAAGTTGCAGAAGAGAAGTTGGGCATTCCAGCTTTGTTGGATGCTGAAGACATGGTGGCTTTAAAGATCCCTGACAGGCTGAGCATTCTAACTTATGTGTCTCAGTACTACAACTACTTCAAAGGACGACCTCCTAGTGAGTATCTTTTCCTTGGAAATTCTTTGTTCCATAAAAAAATGTCAAACATTGGTCATATATATCATTTGTTGGAGTGTGTCTTTCTCTTTAATAAAGTGTAACTTGTCAAAAGGCCAGCAGAGGGCTCCAAAGAAGAGCCATCAGAGAAGAAGAATCAACCAGTGGTCGCCAAAATGTTGGAGTCTAAATCTGGCGCGGAGAACTGTTTATCTTCCACTGTCGCTGCTCGCAAATCACCAAAGGTGGATGGAGCTGCTGCTGAGGTTAGCTTTGTTTGTCTTTTAATTAATTATCAATCAGTAGATTAAGTTTTTTCATTTTAGTTTTT